TAAATAAATAATAATATGGAAATTAGGCAAAAATTTAATCTGGCAGTTTGGATATATAATTTAAAAAAGTATGGATGATTACGGTTAAAGAATTACTTTCATTAATAATGATACTATAGTTTGGATTTCGAATTAAGGTCATATTCATATATTTTAATTGAATGATTCAAATTTTGTTGAAAACAAAAATTTACAAATACTTCCAAATAAAATCACTTAAAGCGATCACTACAATTTATTTCCATTAATTTTTATTAAGTCTTAAAACATTTTAATTTTAAAACATTGTTAAAATGTTTATTTACTTCGATATGAAGTTAATAAACAATTTAAAATTATAGGAGAACCAATTTCTTTTGAATCTGCATGTATGTTTGGAAATTTAAATGTTGATGGGTCATCTTTAGTAGTCTGGAACATTGGAACTAAATCATTTAGATTTTATTCATTAGATTATTTTTGACCTATTATTATTCTATTTTTTTACAATCAATTTATATAAAATTATTATTTTAGTTAAAGTTCAATTTAAAACAAGATACATAATACTATTTATAAAATTAGCAATGATATTATTATAATTTTTTATTTATATTATTGCTTAGAATTCAAGGCATACTTTCATATTTGAGACTGTTTTCAATAATCTTGATTTCCTTATGCACGATCTGAAGTACATGATAATATATTTATCATTAAAAGATTCAAGAAAAATCTTTGTTTAGTGCACTATTATCATTATATTATCAGAGAGATAGGATTTATCTTTGATTTATATTTACTTAATCATTCTCTATTAAGAAGAATAAACTTAATATAGTATTAGGTTATCATAATTACAATGAACTAGACCTAACTTGGATCATTTTTATTTTGAATGGACTTTTTAAAGGCCCGACAGGGTTTAAACTTTAAATGGTGAGAATTTCATCTACAAATTTTACAAATATCAATATTTGAAATAACCACGTTTGAACCTGCATATAACCTATCGCAATCCACTTTAAAAGGATTAAAAGACCTTTTGATAAGTCTGTCAAACAATCTCAAGTAAAAACATCTACTACCTTTAAATCTTCCTTTTACATGAACTACCTGGGTTACAATGGTTCCAGTCTAGACAGTTATGATTTTATAAAGTTGAAAAGCTTCCTATGATTATAGCTTCCTTAAACTTTATACAAAAGGGCTCATAGCACATCTAAATTATTTCAAGAAAATTTATCTGCTTCTTTCAGGCAGATGCTTCCTCCTTAGTCTAATTTGTAAATGCCCAACAAGATTTAACTCTAATACGATTCTATGCTAAATTAAAATTTATGATTAGATATATAACACGCTGAGTTACACTTTCTATCCTCTTTGTTATTATTCAATAGATAAAGCATAAATTCACTATTTAAGTGAGCTCTAAGGTTTGATAGGACTCGCAGTATATTAGCGATTTATTGGATTAGACTTATTATTTTTAAAGATTGCGTTTAATCTCCATCTTAGAATCTCCTTCGTATCCTGTAACAATTCACAAGTATTAGATTCAGTACATAAAGTAATTCAAATAAAATTAAATCAGTTTATTATTTCTCGCTTCTCAATATACATTATTCATCAGAACTCCTATAATAAACACTAGGATGATATATATAAGAAATTAGAAGCTTCAAACGTAAAATAATCATTAATACACAAGCATAGTCCATTTGTTTCTAAAATGCAAGTCCTTCTAATAAGGTTTATTCATCTCATATAATATTCTTAATTTAAACGGCCTAGATAGTAGCACCTGCACAAGTAGTTTGAGTAAGACAACCTCCAGTAACTTATCTAGCAAAACCAGTTGCAAAATATTTGGTGCATTATCAAAAACAATATCATTATAGGCTGCAACACAATAACATGCCATTCATTTTTATTTAATTTCAAATACATTCGTTTTCGAATTTTTAATTTGCATTGCCATCTTCGCAAGTATTTGTATTATTCCAAAAGTTTAATTTTCCTGATTCATTTTTGCGCAATTAGGTTTTTAATAAGTTCTAACAACATCTATTTTAACGCGATAAGTTCCATCTGTAATATATTTATTACTTATTGTTTAGCATGTAGGATAAATTGTTTTTCGAAAGTTTTGCATCCTGTGAGGCGTGAGCATTGCCATATCCAAAGTAAAAACACCATTATCAAGGTTTTAGCTTTTTACAATTTTTTTAAGTAAAGGTATCACAATAAGATGCGTGAGTTAATGTTGAAGGGAGCTTCATTTTAGTCCTGCCTTGTTAAAATCATAAGCATTCCCTAATTTAGTTTTGTATTTTATTTGTTGATGAGGGTGGAGCATCTATATGAGTAATCTGTCTCATCCATCAATTTGCATTATTTATTTATATAAGCGTTAAAAAAAATTTTTAAAACAATTTTGATGCACAAAATGGATAATATTTGAATAATAAATTTAAAAGTTAAAACCTTATCAGATCCTTCTCCTATTTAGTAAAGTATAAATAATCTTTAACCAATAATCTACTATCTAAATTTCAATCGATAGAACTTTTGCAATACTATTATTTATGAATATGACTTGATATTAGACCAAAAAAAAATATTATTAAAATAAGTTTATATATAGATTATGAGTATTGAGATCATGTTCGCTTTATATATAAGAACTGTAATACTGATATAACAAAGGACGATTTTAATAAAGCTGCACTTCTTTTCACAAGTTGATATTAAAATTCTACCTTTTAAACTGGCCCAAATTATTCAACATATTTTTAAAGTCTAACATTATAATATTTTGATAATTACAAAGCTTGTTAATAATGCATTACTTTAGCGAAATGATGCTGGTAACCTCCAACAAGATGCATAACTTTTTCATTAATTAAGGTATAAATAAACTCTTTGATTTTACAGTGATTATAATTTAGAAACATTATTTTATAATAATTACTTTACAGATTATTGAATTAGATAAGAAATCAGAAAATTTATCATCACTCAGAATTGAAAGGGCCTTTATCTCTTTAGGATTTCCCAGCTCATCAAATTCTCTTTTGAAATCTCACTTAAATATAATTCTTTGGTTTCCAAATGATCACATAATTCATATTTAATATTTTATGAAGAAAAAAGAGTTTTCAAATCTTGCCACTCTAGAAGGCAATTCAAGACTCTAAAATTCTCTGTCCCTTATGTAATGACCTTGCTCAATAAAGGTAATTCTTTCTTAGCCTGAGATTCTCTCATTTTGTATTTGTAACTTTGTAATTTAGGATAACAATATCCTCCAAAATTAAATTCATTTTTTAATTTTTTTGTTATCATTTTAACTATTTACCTCAATTAAGAAATAAAGTGAAAAAGCCAAATATTATTCTCAACAAAACTTGCATTTAAGTATTCTCTACATATTTTAGGACCTTTAATAAATTGAACAGTTTTATGTAATGAGTCATGGTCTAATCCGCTTAAATTATTCTTGAATGAGTAAATAGGGATGAATTTTATTTAAAACAATGAGACACTGCCGTGTACAAACTTCTATTATTTTTGTTTTTCAAATTTGTAGAGGGAGCCCAGTTTTCATTAAAGTA